AGCCATGAATCCTAACCCTTCTTCTACAGCTAATTATTTTAGTGCTTTAAGTTGATTAATCTGAGTCTAAAGCATCACAAGTTTGTCTCTCAAACTGACCATGTTTTTCTCCTAAAACATATTTGAGTTACTAGCTTTTAATAGAAAATGGGACAGCAGTAAGCATACTAATTTAATTTTAGTTAGTCCTTCCAGAAAAGGTGCCAATTTAAAGAATCCCTTAGATGAATAACCATTGGACTACATTTTCATGTACAGAACAATGAAACAATCCATTGGTTAAAAAAAAATAAGCAGGGAAATCAGAAAAGAATGCTCTTTTTTACAGAAGAATGCAAAAAAGCCCCACAGAAATAATGATAGGAAGAAAATATCATTATTTTGGAAACATCATAGCAATAATGAATTCAGACAAGATGTGTTGATTTATGCTGAAACTCATTGCATGAAAAGCTGAAAAGGAGATATTTTAATCTCAAAGAATCACTCCTAGGATTACTTACTAATTACAAAAGGGAACAAGTACCTTTATAAGAACAAATCTGACAGCACCTTAGCCAAGAGATCAAACATGCTGCCACCAATAATAGGAGAAACTGAGATCATGTACTTCTTGATGTGATGCTTTGTGAAGAACACACATCTTTCTGGTACTCCAGAGACCTTAAACATTTGACTTGAACTTGATCATGAAGAAGAAACTATACAACCAAGAATTGAAAGGCATTATGCAAAACATCTGACATTGATTCTTCAAAAACATCAATGTAACAAGAAGACAAAAATAAATTGAAGGTTAGGAAACCATTCTGGATTAGTGGTGTGACTAAATAGACAGGATAATGGAATGCAATCCATGATCCTTGACAAGATTCTGGATTGGGGAAATAAAACATTATAAATAAAGTGTTCTCTGTTTGGGGAAGAAGTTGGAGATTCTGAATGTGGAATATATAATGAATAATGGTGCTGTATTGGAGTAAAGCTTCCTGACTGAGATTTTTATATTATATTTCTTCAGGAGGATGTCCTGTCTTTTTTTTTTTTAAGAGATAAGAGAAGGGGGGAACCTGGGTGGCTCAGTCAGCTAAGCATCTGCCTTTGACTCATGTCATGATCCCAGGGTCCTGGGATGGAGCCCCACATAGGGCTCCTTGATCAGTGGGGAGCCTGCCTCTCTCTCTTTTCCTCTGCCTGCAGCTCCCCCCACCTGTGTGCGCTCTCTCTCTCTCTCTCTTAAAGAGAGAGAGAGAGAGAGATAAAAGGATGATGCATTTAGAAGTGAAGATAAAGCAAATATGGGAAAATGTTTATAATTAGTGAATTATAGTAAAAAATATTTAGATATTCATTGCACAATTCTTGTAACTTTAAGTCTGCACCTTAATTATTTTTTTAAGATTATTTATTTATTTGAGAGAGAGAGAGCATGTGCACACATGCAAGAGGCAGTAGGAGAGGGAGAGAGAATCCAAGCAGACTCCCTGCTTAGCACCAAGGCCAACATGAGGCCCACGTGGGGGTTCTTCTGTCCACTCTAAGATTACAACCTGAGCTGAAACTGAGAGTGGGACCCTTAACCGATGGAGACACACACACACACACCAGTCTGCACTTTTAAAAATGAGAGGTTGTAAAAAATTGCAATAATTTTCTTCTGTTAATGTGTGTCATGAGGAAAGTACAAGGCTAGGAGAAACTTTATATTCATTCGCAAATATTTATTGACTGCCTCCTATCTGCCAGACATTCTTCCAGAGAATCAAACAGGCAAAGAGCCCTCCTTTTGCAGAACTTCTGTTCTCTAACCTCATGTCTTAGCTTCCTCCCATGTTACATGGGTGAGGGTGGGAGATGGCAATGAAGTGAGATGTGGTGATATCCATCGTACGGCCCCTTTCTACACTAACTGCTATCATTTTTGATGCATGAATTTATTTGTGTTGAGTAGATATGATAGAGTGGCTAAACAGTGTTTTAGAAAAAAATTCCATTGCACTGAATACAAAAAGACTAACCAACAAGGGTATAACAGAAAATAGCAGTATCACTTCTGCTTTTGGTATTATTGCAAACCAAAGCAAGACATCATCAAAGTATTTATTGAAAACATGCTAAGTTTTGGGTTTGCTTTAGTTTCTCTTTCCAAAATTATTAAGAAAAAAATATCTATTTCCAATAAAAGAAAAAGTATTCTTTACCTTCTCTTCTTTTGCAGATCCTATAGTCTTTCAAATCTGTCTAAAAAGAACAAAAATGCTTCACTATTAATGGTTATGCATTGTCCCAAACAAAATGTAAAATACAGAGTTTTAATTCAAAGCCAAATTCAAAAGTAGTAGCCAAAGATGATCCTTTAAAATACCTTTAGAGGGCAGCCTGGGTGGCTCAGGGGTTTAGCACCACCTTTGGTCCAGGGATGGATCCTGGAGACACAGGATCGAGTCCCAAGCCGGGCTCCCTGCATGGAGCCTGCTTCTCCCTCTGCCTGTGTCTCTGCCTCTCTCTCTCTCTGTGTATCTCTAATAAATAAATAAAATAAAAAAAACTATTTAAAAATAAAATAAAAGACCTTTAGATATATGCCAGTTCAATAGGATCAATATTTTTATGAAAAACATAGGAAATTTTTAAAAAATTGAATAAATAGGAAATACTTGAATAAGACACATTCATGTGGCATTTTATTGGTACTAGGTCCTAATATACTTCTTTAGACACTGCATAAAATTCTTAATGTTATGTTCTGAATTCAAATTTGAGTTAGATGAAAGGTTTTTCCCCCCTCCTCTCCATTCTCTTTTATTTCACCTTTTGCATTTATTAGTAATGAGTGACTTTCTGCTGTTGACGCTACTTGTGCTATGACAATTCAGAACACTGTAGATCCTCATTGCATTTGGTTTGCCATGTGCTTACTCACCTTTGTATGTTGCATGTAATGGGGTGGTGTTGGAAGGGATCAGAAAATCAGTCTTTTACCAAATGCACTCGTTATGCAAATCAACTGCAAGAAGCCCAGAAAGTAGGAGGAAGGAAAGTGGGAGCTTCTGTATTTTTAATGAGATCCCCCAGAGAGTTAAGAAAGTTCAGAAGAAGAAATAGGAGATAATGGTGGAAAGGACACTTGACTTTAATTTCAATCAAACAGGGAAAGAACAGGGCAAATGGGTGGGAGATTTTCTCATTGGACATTTCTCATGGAATTTAGGTCTACGAAAAGTTGTTAATAGAATGGAGGAGAGGGTGCAGTATTTGTAACCTAAAGAGAGGAGAAAGAAAGCAGCCTTGAAAAGTTCATCTTAAAGTGGAAGAGAGGTGAGGATCAATGCACTGACGATGAGTGCAAGCAGGAGCAAATACTTTCATCATTTTTAAATGTCCCAGAAAAGACAGACAAGTTTGAGCAAACACGAAATAAGAAAATGCTTTTCTTCTTTGTTAAGTAAACATAGGGAGGAAATTGAGAGATCTCCTTTCTTTCTGTTTCACTCTATTTTTCTTTCTCTCTGATGGATGAAGACGCTGTGGGGAAGTAACCCAAGGTGTAGGCTCCAGAAAGAGGAAGTGAAGCAGAAGTGAAAACAAGAAGAAGAAGTAAATATGAAAACATGAAGACACTTTAAGAAAATTGCTAGTTATTTCTGAGCCTTGGTTAAATCATGAAGAAGATAACATATAGCTTTAGAAGACTGTCTTTCTTTTGATCCCCCTCCCCCATCTCCGCCCAGAAACTCCTCTCCTTTCCCTCTTTATTACTCTTGCTCCACCTGGCCTGTTCTTTCTGGACTAGCTCCACTTCCCACCAGGCTGTTCCCAACTTGTGTCAGCTAATGACTCTGCCCTTAGAAGTTCAAACAGTGGATAACTGGTAATTAGGCCAATTTAGCATTCTAACCCGTTACCTGGTTCATCCGAGGGCTCCCCAGCCTCTGTGGAAAAATGGTAAGATGAAGAAACAAGGAAGACAGGAAAGGGAAGGAAAGGTGAAGAGGTAAGTCAGCTGCCATTCCTCTCAAGAACTACTGAATTTAAAAATTCTCTGAGGTTGTAATGGAATCCCCAAAGAAGAACCCTTTCATGGAGAAATCCATACATCGTGAGATTGACCCTCTTCCTAATATCTTTCATTTGTTGGGAACATCATCCCATGACTTTCATTTTACATCACCTGAAATTTCTTAGTTTGCTTCCATATAACACTAGTCTTAACTTATAGTACTGAGTTTCCAAGGAAATATATGTAAAATGTATCTGACCGTGTTAATGGTTAAAACACTATTATAACTAAAAAGACTGGAAGTAGCGAGCCATGCAGTTCCTCAGTTGTGTCAAGAGGTGGTGCCATTTATACACAATCATGCATATTTCCCAGTTTATTATTTAATATAATAAATTCTAATAATTTCTCAAAAATGTTAATAAGAAGAAATAATTGACCTCTGTGCTTTATTAAATTTGTATGCTTCCTGCAATTATTACCTCTTGAGGAAGTTTTATGTTTTATGCTGTCATTTTCATTGATTACTATTTCTGTTTAAAACATCTTCACTTGTTATTAAGAAAGTAACTTCAACCGGGAGAAGACATCTTTATCCCCCAAAATTCAGTTCAACTGCATTTTGATTGAAAGCTGGATAAAGAGAGAGGTAGACGTAAGAGTGAAGGAGACTCTCTTCCAAGCGCATCACATGAGTGTCAACTAGGCTCCTCAGGGGTGATTCTAAAATCACAGATTTGTTGGGATTCTCTCTTTAATTCTGAGAAAATTTCCAAATTATATTTTTTCATTTCACTCTATGATGGCTTCTCCTCAGTCCGTAAATACCCATAGCTGTTTCTAGCAGCATTTTGGGTTTGCTGATCATGCTTTATGAGGCAAAACATAGCAACACAAACATTTAAATTACTCCCAAGTTTTACGACCTCAACTGCTGTATTTTATATAAAGGCCACAAAATGAATATGGTTATCGATGAAAATCGGATATACCCCAAGGACTCTGCACGCTGAACTTGAGAATGGAGCAGACTGAGAAACCAAAAGCACCTGCTGAGAAAGGTGGGTAAAGAGTCAACTGCTCAGAGCAGTTTCTACGTTCATTCCCACAGGCTAGACATCAGCCAAAGGGAAGGGGGATTATGTTTTTCATTTGGGAAATCTGATTTCCAATATTACTTGGATATGAGTTGCATAGTTTTTGTTACATAGGAAAGAAGTAATTTGTATGAGGGAGACCAATGAACATTGTTTTAAAATATTTACTATATGCTAGAATCTATTTTTTGGTTTTATTTTGTTTCTTTTTTTTGTTGCGGTGGTTGTTTTTTGGGGGTTATTTTGGTTTGGTTTGGTTTGGGTTTCTATTGATCATGTGCCTACAAGTTTTATTTTTAAAACACAGTAAAACGTGTTTGATATTCCTCGAAATGCTTCTATGAGGATCAGTATTCAATACAAAGGCCACTTCCCATAACTATGTAGTGTTTACTTCGGTCAGGGAAGTAAGACATTTCCCTAGCTTTGCAGGCTCATGTGCCTTTTATTAAGCCAATTTTAACCTTCCTCATGGTAATATTTTACCTTGTTTCTTCACTATTCGTGTACAATAATAAATTATTTACAAAACTCTTTTAAAACCTTAGCAAATGATTAAGAATATTCCACCAACACCAAAGCAATTGTCAAGGAGTAGTATTAAACAAGCTGATTTTCAACAAATAAGCCTGAAACTTATTTTTCAAGATAATACTTGCAAGCGGCAATACTTTTTGGTTTGCCAGTTACTGATTCCTAGATTACTCTTCCCCTTCTAACAGCATTGAGCCCTCTACTAGGAGGGGTGCCAATGCCCAGAAACAGAGTTGTCCCTCTCTAAGAGTCAATTCTTCATGTTTGTAACTAATGGCTAAGTAATACACGAAAGAGTGTTGCTAAATTTATTTTGCTAGGAAATATTAATAACAATAAACTTTTCTTATATTTTTTTTGCCCTGGGACTGTGCCAGTTACTTTACATAAACATTACCTAATTTTGTATAAAAACAACAGTATGTGGGACTATTGTAAAAGTTTTGTCTAAACTCAAGCTAATCAGATTAATACAAAATTTCCTGTTTAGTGGAGAGTCTATAAAATAATCATAATATAATCTGTGCTTTGCAAATGAAATGGGGTATCTTAGAAAATGTTTATAGATAACCTTTTATATATAATAATGGAAGCTCAGCTAATTGGTTGGGACCTATGAAGTATTAAATCATGATTTAATGATAAGCCACACTTGAAACCTTTTAGAAATAAATTAATGCTGATCAGCTGACAGAAATAATACTTCTTGAATTGCAGCAAAAAATATAAAAGTCAATTTTTTAAATTATGGACTTTTTAAAAAGATTTTATTTATTTATTTATTCATGAGAGACACGGAAAGAGAGAGAGAGAGAGGAGCAGGCTCCATGCAAGGAACCCAATGCGGGACTCGATCCTGGGACTCCAGGACCACACCCCGGGCCGAAGGCAGGCGCCAGACCGCTGAGCCACCCAGGGATCCCAATTCTGAGCATTTTGAGGCCATTAAGAACTAGTTTCTTAAATTAAAATTGTAGACAATGTTAAAAAATATTTTAACCATTTGCCACGTCACTAGTAAATTAGCAGAATAACAAAAATAGCTAAGACAAATTGAGGATTTATTATGATTCATACGACATGCCAAGCCATCCCCGGGTATTATCTTATTTAAAACTTCCAACAAACTCTTGAGGCAAAAGACTGTTCTCCCACAGAGAAGAGGAACCAAGTATTAGAAAGATTGAAAAACTTGGCACAGTGAACAATAGCACAGGTTATAAGAGGCAAAGCCTAGAATCAGGAGCCTGATATTTCCATTTCAAAGACTGTCTCATCCTCTGAGATGTTTGCAGCCTTCCTTCAGCAAAGAAACTTTCCATGTCTTCTACAGAAAGATAAAAATTAATTAAACCAACAGAAAATTTGGAATATGTTCTATACTGCCAGAAAAAAAAAATAGGGCCACCTTTTACCAGTCCTTGTCAATCAATACAAATAAACAAGAGTTGAATGATCACTGGTAGTATTGAAAGAATTAATTCACTGTCTAAAGAGGTTGACGATAGACTCCTCACCTGATGGTGCAACTTTAAATATTCCAGACTAGATTAACCAATTGAAGTAAAATAATTGTGTTTCAAAGCCAGCGAAACTCCAGAAGTTCAGTCCCACAATACATTACTGGAGGACTAAAATTAATTGAAGACAAGATTGCTTTTTAGCCCCACTTACGACCCTCAGAAGAATCAGCCTGATTTTGCTCATGACATCTAAGGGACTCTGTGATTCTTCAGTGAGAAATTTAATTAAATTAATTGATTAATTACTTAATTTTTAAGACTTTATTTATTTGAGAAAGAGAGAGCACGCATGCGTGTGGATGAGGGAGGGTAGAGGGAGGGAGAGAATCAAACTCCCTGCTGAAGAGGAAGCCCCCCCCATCCCAAGATCCTGGGATCTTGACCTGAGCTGAAGGCAGACACTTAACCAACTAGCCACTCAGGTGCCCCGAGAAACTGTATTTCAAAAGTAAGAGCCATTTTTTTTTTTTTGAAGATTATGAGTTGCAAGCCACCCATTCTTCCAGACCCATGCCATCAACACTTCTACCTCTTGATTCCTAAAGAAATCATTTAACCAAGATGGATTTTGAATATCTATGCATTATGCATAAAAAGGGTAACCTGCTTGAACTTCTTTGAGTTATATTTCTCACAGATAGCATTACTTTTGTTTGTTTAATTATTTTGTTAAAACTTAAGGACTCTTGGAAAAGATAAAGCTATGCCTTTCAAAGAAACCGCTGCCATCTCCCACTGAACGGAAGAAGTTTGACCATGACTTTGCCATCTCTACTTCCTTTCATGGGGTCCACAATATTGTTCACAACCAGAGCAAAATTCGCAAGCTGATCTGGTCGGTGATAGTCTTGGGCTCAGTCTCACTCGTCGTATGGCAGATCTACAGTCGCTTGGTCAACTACTTCACATGGCCCACCACAACATCTATAGAGGTTCAGTACGTGGAAAAGATCGAGTTCCCGGCTGTGACATTTTGTAATTTAAACAGGTAAAAATTCCTCTTTCAGTAGTCATAAGTCTCTATAACTTTGCTAGCATGACTTTATAGCACTGAGATAGTTTCATTCTATGATGTTGAATGTATATGAAACCATAAAGTTCTTAAATTATACCTAAAAACCTAAATTTAGGAGGGCAAAGAAGCTTATTTGATTTCTTCTTTAATTTTCTTTCTCTTTCTTTCTTTCTTTCTTTCTTTCTTTCTTCTTCCTTCCTTCCTTCCTTCCTTCCTTCCTTTCTTTTTCTTTCTTTCTTTCTTTCTTTCTTTCTTTCTTTCTTTCTTTCTTTCTTTCTTTCTTTCTTTCTTTCTTTCTTTCTTTCTTTCTCTTTCTTTCTTTCTTTCTCTTTCTTCTTTCTTTCTTTCCCCAATTGCTTACTAGACATCACACCAAATCCTGTGCTTCGATAAATGTAAAAGTCCTGATCCTTGTGTTTAGAGTGTGTTAATTAGCAAAAAATGAAAGAAACATAAGCAACCACAATGCAATATGTATGGCGCTTGTGCAGTACAATAAAGTATGTGCACGGGATATGCTAGCACAGGGGGCAGGTGACAGTCTATATCTGGTGTCACAGATATCTGGTGTCACAGGAGTCAGAGTATCAAGGATAACTAGGCAGTTTCCAGGTGGGAATGAGGAAGAATCTGAAGAGGGAACCACTGTGCAGTAGTTTGGAGACAGGAAACGTTCTGATATGTCCATGATGAGACCTTTAATGTAACAGAGGCAGGCCAGCTTCATGGGTGTGTGACCTGTGCAGTCACAGAGGGCTCTGAGCTCAGAAGAGCCTCACCCTTGGTTTAATGCTCTGCTGTTTTTGAGTCCTTAACTACAAGTCCCTCTAGAAAACAGCAATTCAACAACTACCCCAAGTCTCCTGTAGGAGGGCAGCTGTCCCCCATGAGGCCTTCCAGGGAAAACCCTGCATTTGCCCATGGATGACCCTGAAAGATCACATGTAGGATTTATCTGGGGGGTGGCGAGGGTGATTTCCTTAAGGTCTACCACTGATCCACTACTTGATCCTGGACAACTCGCTTAATCTTAGCTCAATTCTTATATGTATAAATTATATGTAATATATATATTAAAACATAGTTGCTGTTATGTTAGATGAGATAACATATACACCATTTTGTCTTGTTCCTGGGGTCTTCCTTGGATAGGTGTTCCATACATATTAGATATTATAGCATGTTTGTGTGACTGTTACATATGTGTCTAGGTGTGTGTGTATCAAGGTCCCAAAAGTAAAAGCAAATCAACCCCACTCCCCAAAGATTTTCTATACTATTGCCTATGTTAAATGGCCTGTATTCTAATATAAGCAAAGGTTGGTTGAAGATATGTTATTAAAATAAAATGTATATACTATTTTGAAAATGGCAGTCTGAGGAACTTCACAGATCTCTTCAGAGAAAACAATCATAACTAGTAAAAAAGCAACCATTGAGGGTTAAATCTTCAAAATATGAAGAACTCCTACACCTCAATAGCAGACAAGCAAACAAAAATAACTCAATTTAAAAATGTACTAAGGATTTGAATAGACACGTCTTCAAAGAAGACATACAAATGGGCAACAGGTATATGAAAAAACTGTTAAATGTCACTAAACATCAGAGAAATGCAAATAAACACCACAATTAGATATCACTTCACACCTGTCAGGATGGCTATTATTAAAAAAATTAAAAATAAATTTAAAAAATAATAAGTAAATAATTTAAAACAACAACAAAGATAGCAAGTATTGGTGAGGATGTGAAGAAATTGGAATTTTCATACACTGTAGGTAGGAATGCTCAAGGGAACATGCATTATGGAAAACAGCGCAAGGGCTTCTCAAAAAATTAAAAATAGATTTACCATATAATCCAGCAATTTCACTTCTAAGTGTATATCCAAAAGAATTTAAAACAAGATCTCAAAGAGATCATCATTGTACTGGGGAAAAACTCCGTATTTGCCCATGGATGAGCCTGAAAGATCACATGTAGGATTTATCTGGGAGGTGGCGGGGATGATTTCCTTAAGGTCTACCACTGATCCACTACTTGATCATGGACAACTCATTTAATCTTTAGCTTCAATTCTTGTATGTATAAATTATAATGTCATAATATTATAACATGGTTGCTGTTACATTAGATGAGATAATAATACACCATTTTGTCTTGTTCCTGGGGTCAACAATTCTGTATTGTACACTTAGATTTGTTTGGAGAGTAGATCTCATGTTAAGTGTTCTTATCACATAAAATCAATTTTTTAAAAAACTGGTAGAAAAATAGAGAAAATCATTGTATCTACTATAATACCTAAAATATAATAAAATGTACCTAAATATATTTTTCTAAAGCAACCAATAAAATGTCGGGAAATTGTCCTCAGAGAATATAGCAAATGAAGAACACTAAAAAAAAAAAAAAAAAAAAATTCCACTAAATCCCAATAAGAGCAGTGTAGAACTTGCTTCACAAACCACTTAGTTCTTCTCTCTTTCTGTCTTAGCATGATAGAAGCCACATTCTAGGTGGGTTTGACCAAAAAGAAGGGCTCTTTCTCCTCCCCCTTTCCAGTAAAGGGCTACATTATGCCCAGGAAATGCAGGCAGCTGACATTCCATCCAATTCAACCTCATATTGCAGAGGCTAAATTCCAGACTAGAAGAGGTAAGAGGTGGGTTCGCTTCCTCTATGTCACCCCCTCTTACAGGGTGGAAGCTCTACCCCAGGCATGGTGGGCTGTAATGCTTAATTACCTTCACCTCAAGGTGGAGATTCCACACTGAGAGAGAGGCATGGTCAGAAGACTAAAACCACTGTCCTGTCCAGAATGCTGCTGGTAAATATTTTGCCCAATGGGAGGGGCAGGCCATAAGAACAAAGAACTCTGACGTTCTCCCTAATGGAACTCTTCTTGTAACAGAGTGTGGTGAAATCCAACTTTTCTTTTAACAGAGTATATGGCTCAAGCCTAAGGATGCCCTTAAAACAGAATAGATTTTGGTGGTAAACGATTAAGTGGAGGTTAGCAGGTTCATGAGACCAACAAGCTAAATTGTAGGCCAGCTAGTTTTTCAGTAAGAATAAAAAACAAGAGGGGCACCTGGGTGGCTCAGTCAGTTAAGCATCTGACTCTGGTTGCAGCTCAGGTCATGACCTCAGGGTCGTGGGATAGAGCCCCATGTGGGAATCTGCTTTCCCCTATTCCTCTGCTCCTCCCTTTGCTCATGCTTTCTCTCACTCTCTCTCTCCATCTCTCTCTAAAGTGAATAAATAGTCTTAAAAAATGCAGAAAAGAGATATACAAGAATTCTCCCAGGGTCAGAAGAACTCTCAAAGGCTGGCCTCAAAATTTATCCTTTAAAGGGGCATGAATTCAATTAAAGTAAACTGTGGAGAAATCTATGCCTCACAGTATTATTAAAAACAATGGAGGGCAGCCTGGGTGGCTCAGCAGTTTAGCGCCGCCTTCAGCCCGGGGCATGATTCTGGAGACCCGGGATCGAGTCCCACGTCCGGCTCCCTGCATGGGGCCTGCTTCTCCCTCTGCCTGTGTCTCTGCCTCTCTCTCTCTCCCTGTGTCTCTCATGAATAAATAAATAAAATCTTTAAAAATAAATAAATAAAAACAATGGAGATTAAGATAAGGAAAAGACAAGCCACAAAATGAGAGAACTATTTGCAAAAGACATATCTGATAAAGGACAGTTAGCCAAACATAGAGAACTGTTAAAAATAAGAAAACAACTTGATTAAAAAATGAGCCCAAACATCAACAAACACCTCAGCAAAAAGAAATGTACAGGTGGCAATGGGGCACATAAAAAGATGCTCCACATTATATGTCATCAGAGAAATGTAAATTAATATAACCATGAGATACCACAACAACACACACGTATTACAATGGCCAAAATCTAAAATAGACCTCAAATCTTGGTGAGACTGTGGAGCTACAGGGACTCCCATTCATTGTTCTCATTATTGAATTTAAAACACAGTATGTTACTGGCGATAAAGAGGTCAGTTTATACTGATAAAAGGGGTGATCTATCAGGAAGGTATGATCCAGCATATATAGCTGCATGCTTCAGTACCCTACTTTCAGTAATCAGTAGAACAACTGAGCAGAGGCTCAACAAGAAAACAAGCCTGAGCAGACTTGAACAGCCATATAAACCAGAAACTAGACCTAAAAGACATCTGTAGACTATTCTATGCCATAGCAGCAGAATCCATACTCTTCTCAAGTGCACATGAAACATTTTCTAGGCTAGGTCATATGCGAGGCCATAAAATAAGCTTCAATGAATTAAAAAGATTTGAAATCATTCAGAATATGTCCATCAACAATAGAATGAAATTAGAAATCATTAATAGAAAGAAATTCAGGATAGTCACAAATATATGGATATTAAACACCACACAACTAAATAGCTGATAAGTCAAAGAAGAAATAAGATGATATTAGATAATACTCTGAGATAAATGAAAAATAAGGATACAACATAGAAAAACTCATGAAATGCTGGGGCTCCTGGATGGCTCAGTCAGTTGAGGATCTGACTCTTGATTTCAGCTCAGGTCATGATTCGGGGTCATGGGATGGAGCCCCATGTCAGACCCCAAGCTCAATATAGAGTCTACTTGTCCCTCTCCCTCTACTCCTCCCCCTGTTTGTGCTGTCTCTCTTTCTCTCTCTCCTCAAATAAATAAAATCTTTTTTTTAATTTTTTTATTTATTTATGATAGTCACACACATACACACACACACACACACACACACACACACACACACAGAGGCAGAGACACAGGCAGAGGGAGAAGCAGGCTCCATGCACCGGGAGCCCGACGTGGGACTCGATCCCGGGTCTCCAGGACCGCGCCCTGGGCCAAAGGCAGGCGCCAAACCGCTGCGCCACCCAGGGATCCCAAATAAATAAAATCTTAAAAAAAAAAAAAATATGGGATGCTACTGA